TGTATTTAATGTCATGGTTGTCGGTTTGAAACGGAGTTTTCACGGTGCGGTGATTTTTGTCGATGATTTGACTACGCGAGGGGAAAAAGTGACATAGAGGAAGGGCCTCTTACAACTTGATAAATTTATTCCACTGAAATAAATATTAAATTGAATGTTAATTTGACATACATTTCAATAATTCCCAAAACCAAATGGCAGAAGATCCTTCCTCTTACACTTAGGAGCAAACTTGGCTTCCCTTAGGGGAAAAAGTAACGCAGGGAAAGGGCCTCTTACCATTTGGTGTTTGGAATTACTGAAATGTCTGCCTAGTTAACATTCGATTTAACATTTATTTCACTACCTGGAATAAATTTACCAAGTGGTAGAAGACTTTTCTTCTACGCCGCTTTTTCCCCTAGCGAAAGCAGAGTTTGCTTGTGAGGGTACATACATTCATATGTATCGCAAAAATAATTCATTAAAGAATATCACGGTGAATTGCACAATACCACGGTGAATTACGCAATACTGCAAATATAGTGAAGTCTAACCTAGTGTAATTGGCCATGATAAGTCGGTTTGCTATATTATTTTAGGACAAACAAGTCTACCATAATTCTCTACGCCATGTTGAGCTGTGTCGTACTGTATAATCTCGTGTAACGTCAGAATATCATATTGTTAAACAACATAGTGTTTACGAGCCGACAGTTTCGCTGTGGGAATGTTTTCGTACGCGGGTGTTAAATTGCGCGGAAGATGCGAGCCGTCGTAAGGCGAGTAAGACTTGCATCGCCTTAGCTGTGACTAGGTACCTCTCTTTCTCTGTGCGGAATTCTACGTCTAAACAGAAACTACGTTCGCAGAATGACCGAGTTGCATCGAGAAACGCATAGGAATGAGTTTATTTTGGTCGTGTTGTGTGCACATCACCAAGATACACCTGAGTAACCAACATTTACTTAATTAATGTCTACCTGGTAATCAACTTGCATTTTCCTTAGATTGATATTGGCTATCCTCGATTCCCTGTTCATTTCAAGGGCAGACAAGGATCTGCCCCTGCCAATCAACAGTTCGGGGCAACGTTACCATTTCATTTCCAAATTTTTGGGATGGGCGAAGATTTTTGTTTTCTTAAAAATATTCTGGTATCCAGGTGAGACTCCACGAGTATCCCCTTAACAAGGGATCTGTGTCACTAGAATGCAGACGTTTAAGTAGAATCCGAAGTTTGTTACAGTGACATAAGAAAACGAAAATTAGACTGAAGGACATTGATTTCGACAGAGATTTGTTTTCAAATGTGTGTACAATATTTTTTTGTGTTGTCACAATTAAGAAAGGTATTTGGGAGTCACACTTAAATGAGACACCCTGTAAATAGGTACGTCATATTTAATGAGGTGATCATGACCCTTAGCCTTTAGCCCTTAGCCACTACGTAATTGGTCTCTACTGATTCATTTGTTTTTGGAGACAGTAACTGAATTACATTTATCGGCTAGGGTCTTTAGCGACTCAGAAGGTAGGTCATCTAACAAATACAGATTTTCGTTGCGAATGCGCCATTACTTTTCAGTGAACTTTATTACAATCCGAGAGTACTACGTACGGTGACCCACGGTGACACACAGACAAGTTATCTCGAGGAACGATCCATCGATGTACGACTTTCGCAGGATAATGAATATCCCGTATCCATAACCATAAGCAGCCCGTGGAAACCACGGAGATCCAGGGGGGAAAAGTGGGTAGCTAGTTTCTCTGACGACAAGGACAACTCCGCAGTTATCTTTTCTGGCCGAGGTGTATCGTCTATCGTGCACGATATGTACACAGGGCCGTTCCTGGATTGTTGGTCACCTCGGTGCAGAAACAATATGGCCGCACTTATTAATTCAATATTATTTAATTACTGCTGTGTTTAATTTTATATCTATATAAAAGTGTGTTTAATTAATTTTTATCTAAGCACCATATGGTACAAAAGTATGTTTATTTGATAATATAGACTATTAATAACCTACAGGAATTGAATCCAATAAATATAGCTAAATATTATATGCTTTTTTGGTCTGTAAATATTATATGCTTGTTTGGTCTGTAGTATCCAAAGATTACATATAAATCGAATTTAATTGAATTTTGTTTGTTTAAAATTTTAGGAATCGTCAATAAAGTTTTGATTGTTATTCTTATTAAATTTAACATATAACAAATAGTCTGAGGTCGCCCCTGGGATTGGCCCCCCAGGTGTGTGGGCACTTTTTACACCCCCGTCAAGAGCGGCCCTGTTAACGTACCTACACGCGCGTGCTCGTGTCGTCCCCCATCGGTGAAACTCTCTTGCCGCGAGATTTATTGGCTATCTGGTCGTCGATCGCATAAATAATTGAACGACGTGGCTCGTTGCCACTCGGTTGGATTAAGCGGGATTAGTCCTGAGAGAACGGAAATAAAGGCTGAGGGTCGTCGGTTATCTGTTAACGCCAGCTAGGTCTCTAGACATCTTCAACATGTTCCTCGGTGGACTTTTTTACGGTTACGTTCACACCATTTGTATCGAAGATTTCTGCGAGAAATGTTTCTTCGAGGAAGTTCGCAAAATGGATGATAAGGATCCACCTTTACGTTGCGTGTCCATGTGAGACCAACCATTATTTTTCAGTAAATATCATTTCTATAATACTCTTGGCACAATAATCTTATTACCTAAGTGGATTTGATTTTCTGCAATTACCTTTTAAGGCAACCTTTTCATGTGTACCAGGAAACGCTTCAAAAACGACCGCACGTGACGAATCGTTGTAAAAAATGTTAACTAGCGATGTCAGATTAAAGGAATTAGACAGGTAGAAATGGAAACGTGATTTTCTCTTCGTCTTGTGAAAGATTCTATTCTAAAGAAATGATTAATCCTGATACGATAGGACTCTCGGGAAAACCGATGCTCCGATAGCCGACTAAACGCTTATCGCGCTCGAACGACTATAAATACGCGGCGGCTTTTGTATCCGTGGTGTCCGATATACAATATAGGTTCGCTGACATTTGATAGTGGCCGTATAGTTTGTCTCGCTTGGTACATATATACTGGATGCGTCAACGTGGGCTGTGGTTATCTGCTGCCCACTTCCTACTTTCGTGTCCGCGTTACCTCGATCTGTGTTTAACCAAATTTTTCATTTGATTTAACAGCGAAAAATCGATCTTTTTGATCAACTTCGAAA